ATACCACAAGATGGAGATCAAAAGACGGTTCAAAACAAACGGTGTTCCGTTCACTCTACGCTTTCACTACTCCGGTGATATAACTACCATCTGTCTGGTCAAATGGAACTATTTGTTCTCCTCGGTCGATAATATTGCATGTGGATCATGGGGCTGAGAAACAGTCGCGATTTCACTCCACTGGTTTGACTGACCGAATCAGTTGAACAGTTTGCTGGGCCGAAATCCGGTACAGGGAGAGAGCGCGCGCACGCTAGGTCCTCACACTACTATGCATCATCACTGTCCAGTGGAACTCCAGTGGCTGCAGTAACATGAATTAGTACTGTAAGCAACTAATGCATTCAGAAACGGTGCTCGTGTGGATTTTTGGACACCATTTTTTGGACATCACCGAGCAATTGTATGAAGAAGAAATGGTTGGAATTCACAGTTGGCAGAAAACGAATGATTCAGTCCATCAGTAATGCAATGGGATAGTTGTACGACTGTNATCTTGTGGCGTTAGTTTATTGTTTACCATCTGCATGTTGTGCCCCGGAAATATCAAGTACAAAATTGTTTGTTTTGTAGTGAGAGACGATTCACCAAGGTTGGTTGTGTTCAATAAATTCTAATGGTAATTGAATTGATTTCTAAGAAACTGTAGTGCTTCCTCAAGTGAAACTCTATGCATCATAGTCGCTTTGCCGCAGGAGATGTTGGTGTCAAACATACAAAATTATTTTTGGATCGGATAGCAATACCAACAACTCCGATCCTACATTGAAGTTCGTCAGATCAAATCAGGATAAGTTTCNAAGTTTCGCCTAAGTCGAAGGTGAATTTACACGTGTTGATCAGATCTATATTGCATGGAGTTGTAAAAGCTTTCGTCACCAAATACTGCAATCAAATCACTTCTTATTTATCTACCCAAAATGATAGTGGGGTTGAGAAACATTCACAGGTTTTTAAGCCTTCAAAAGTGTACGTAGAAGTCTCAATTTGGAAATGAGCTTTGGAAAAAATTGTCGTGTCTCATTGAGAAAATCACGTCATGAAAATCAAAATAATGTCAGATGGTAAAACTGAGCAATGCAATGTTTGTTGCACAACTATATCTCAAAATAAATGTAAAAAGCATTGAAAACGGGAATAAAGTTATTTCCTTTCAATCTAGATAACCATTGGGAACGACAGCACAAATAGTACGGACAAAAGAAAGAAGCTAAGAGATTAGTGGTAACCTTTTGAGAGGACCATAGTTTCCTGTATCTCTGCGTCTAACCTCAGCGTTGCCAATCTGGTTGCCCCCCCAGATTAGTCCAATGCTACGTAGACAGTATTGTTCAAACCCCAAAGGTCTTTCTTTATCCTGTGTTCTCACTGATCAAGTTTCTGTGCCTTACAGTTGAACTAACCGGACCGCTGCAGCATAACCTCGACCCATCATGGATAACCAAATGTAGCGGCGGCACTACAGACAACTTACGTTGGCGAATGCCAGTCGAGCCTTCTGTATTCAAGCTGACAATTTATCCGCGATGCATCCAACGGATGAGATATAGCTGCCCAAATTACAAAACATTTCCAATTTCTCTATTATTTCCCCAGTTAGAGTGAGGCTATGCTCTGGACCAACCGAGAATTGCAGCAATATTTTACACTTTGAAGGTGCAAAGTGTATACCGAGCTTGGCTGCACTTGAATTCAAACTGTTTAGAAACGCTTGCAACTTACCCGAATCTTCACTTAACAGCACAATGTCGTCGGAATACTCCGTATCAGACAGTAAACCACCCAAAAACACTTCGATGCCACTATCCTGACTCGAGGATAGGGTTGTTTCCATAATGAACTCTGACACAAAGTTAAATAGAAAAGGATAAAAGGCGCAACCTTGAAAAACACTGCTTTCTGCGGTGAACTCGAGTGAAAAAGCGCCATAAGCTCGGGCTCGGCTTTGGCTATTAACATAAAGAAATCGTAATACTGAAATAAACTTTTCCTACACCCTTTTCAGAGGAAGGAGATGCCAGAGTTGAAATCGGTTGGCTGAATCAAAGGTTACCTCCAAATCAATATACGAATTGGATGTCCGAAAGGAATGTCTGTTACCGAAATTGGCGAAGAGTGAATATGTGGTCGATGCGACCTAGACTAGGTCTGAAACCGGCCTGATTCTCATTCGTGAACTCTTCACGTGCGCAGACAATCGACGGAGTATGGTCTCAGTGAGAAGTTTAGAGAAGATGTTGAATAAACTAATTCCTCTGTGATTTTCACAACAGGGTCTGTTACCTTTCTTGTGAATTGGTAGGACGATCAATTCATACTATTCATTTGGAACCTGTTCTTGCTCCCATAGATAGAGGACTGGTATCAGCTGGGAGAATTAACTCAGTTGAGGTTTGGGGTGAGAGATCAGATGTCGATGGGGGCCAGTTGAACTGAGCCTCGAATTGTTCAGCCCATTGATCAAGTCGGCGTTGCTGCTAATGAATCCGTGGGTCATTGGATTGCTTAATCACCTCAATTACGCCTACTTTTCTTGGACCTGTATTCCTGATTAGACTAAAGGGAATGCGCCTATTACTAATGGACGCAGCTTTCTTCATCTGTCTACAATTTCCTACCCACAACTTCTCATGGTAAGTTCTCAGGCTCTTGATGAGCTGGCGTTTAACTGTTTTGCGCACCGTTTGGTATGTAGCATCAAGAGGAAGGGTTCTGCGGCCGTCCAGTTGGGCAGCCAAGGTCGACGAGATTCATCGTTTGTGATTTGAACCTGCGTCAGAGTCAACCGTTGTTTTCATCAAACCTTGCATAGCTTCCTTATTTGCTTCCAGTGTTCACTAAATCATTTGGCCGGTGGTGGAATTGATAAAGGATCAAAGAGCTCCGTGTTGAAGGCGGATTCTCAACCGTCGCTGACACTGCATCGTCTGAATCCGTTGTATGTGGCTTTATTGTGATCGTATGCCAAACGTAGGAAGAATTTGGCCGGTAACAAAGCATGATCTGCATCCTCGGGCGTTGGCCAGTGACAGCGGCAGTCTTCACTTGCCCATCCCCAGCGGTAAATGATGGTGACGTTATCACTTCGAGTTCATTGCAGTGAAGAGGTTCGTGGCTTCCAAACAAGGTGGCATTGTTTCTTGTGTGAGAACACGGAACAATCCGTGGTCAGCGCAGAGTTGAAGTAAGCGACCTCGATTGTCCGTCCGGTCGGCTATCATTGCGTGTGGACCGCCAAGAAGCCTTCCTGATTAGTCCAAGGATCCAACTTGAGCATCGAAGTCTTCAGTAACTATAACGATGTCCGTTGATTGAACAATTTGAAGTAATTGAATTGGATCCCTTTAGAATTCATTCTTGATTTCGGGAGTGCTGCAATCGGTCGGTGCATACACGGACACATCGGATAAGAATCGATACTCAGTTCTGTAGATCTTGATTTCTACTGATCTGTTGAAATTTATAGCGCACAGTAGGCTACTGACTGGTATCCAGTCAAAAAATGAGCGCTCAGTCTTCACACTTAACGCAATCCCACAATCAGAAATCCCGCGAGCTTCGGATACTGACACACGAAAGTTGAAGGCTGGGGATAAGTTGGATCAGGATGCCGCAGTAAGATGATTGATGTAAGGCATCGTATGTGTGATTTGGAGACACAACATACGTCTAAACTGAAGGTTTCAAGGGTTCTAGTCAAAACAGCTTGTGTACTTATTTGGTAGACTATGAGGATGTTGAACGCAGTAAAGTGAAAAGAGAATCTTGTCTTCAAAAATCCCATATCTTCTCAATGCTTACCTTACTGGTAAAACGCTGAGTGATATCCGGTGCTTGCGGTAAACAGGAGACATCTGAGATTATTCGAGATTGACAGGAAGAACTAAGCAGATGAGAAAGAGCTTTCTCCATATGGATACCTGAATCTTTAGGGCATGACATACTTTGCGGAAGCCCACACCGACGAAGGGGTTTTTCTTTGGAAACCCTATCCGAAGCCTTCGACTCGAAAGTCTGACCCGCAAGGCAGTGACAGAGGGAAACAGTGATATATCACTGAAATAGTCCTACACAGCATATTTGAAAAAAAATCAGTGTTTAACAAGCTCGTTTTCAGAAATTCGTATTCATGCCAATAAATCTCTATGTATATCACTATTTGGGACTAAAATTTTCTTGGGAAAATGAAATAAAATCACAGACTTCTAGAAAGGACTTCATAATGAGAACGGAAATCGGATTCACATCGGTCGATTCAGCGCTGGCATAAATGTGTGGGCAGAACAAAATAGTTCTTCGTCATCCCGAGCAGAAAGTAATTTCAAAATTACTCCTCACCACGGGAAGTGTGTGAGTCAAGTACTAGTAGGGTTTTCCATTATATTTGAATGAGATACAACGGTGTCCGTAGTTTCATCCACTTCGGCTTCGTCGTTGGTTCCTTTACTTGTTGTGATTTATCGAGTAACCATACAAAAAAGTAGAGTGACAATACAGATACATAGTTCAAAAATTCGACCTGGGTTTTACTGTTTATCACACAAAAACTTAAAGAAGGACTCGATTTTAGAGTTAATCATCATGGGGTCACATTATTCTCATTACATTTTCCCTACTGCTAAGAGGTCTGGGCTAATTAAAATTATGCTTTATGTTTCTGATAAAAAATTGCATTCAAACTATCCGTGCTTGTAAATCCAAATACAACGTAATCAACACGAACTCTCTAAATTTTTTTAGTAGAGTGCTTTCGTCATGTTAGTAAAATAGAAAAGAATGATTTTTTGAATTTCATTGTGAAAAAAATTATTCCATGGTGATATCGGCTGACAAAATATTCTTGTTACCTAATTCTTTGGTTGACGAATGTTTCGTTGCTATTGTGAGATTTGCCTCAATGACTCAACGGCATATTGTATAACAATCGTGTTAAATTATTATTTCGTTTTCTTCAATCATCATCAATAACTTGATTCCTCTCTTGTTTACTCCTTTTGAAGCGTTTGAGATTGGAAGAAAAATTGCGCGATGTCGAATTCGATCAGCAACGGGTGAAAACGGCCAAACTCGGTCTGTTGTTGGAGCGCGAAATTGAGCGATCTGCGCGCGAAATTCAAAAGCGACTAGCCGACGAGAACTTGAAAATGGCCGGAGATCAGAAAGCTTTCAAAGAATACTTAGATCACGAGGTACGCCACATGCTGAGAAATCATCTCTCATTCTGAATTTCATTCAATACAGAAGTGACGGTTCCTCGTCCAGATCACTGTTAGAATTGATGGAATTGAGTACCCAAAGTTCGATTTGTATCATTCATTGGAGTTATATTTACTTTTGAAGTTTCTTAAGAGACGCTTTCTCCAAGGTCCTTTATTCTTCAACAATAAAGAAATATTATAATTACTATGGGCATATAAAGTATCGAGCATTCTACTCAGTAAATGATTTGATTTCATGTTAACTATATTAGAGGTTAGATTAGAGGTGCGATTTTTTATTATACTGCGGACTGGTTATTTTGTCAGGTTATCTGTAAAGATTGGTGTTATTATGTATGTATATTCATTGTGTGCCGATATTGGGTAGCATTAGCACTCCGTGCTCAAAGTAGTAACACTTCCAACGACTCCTCATTCAGTGGCCTGACAAATGCGTAGTTGGAAGTCACCTCCAAATGGACCATCACAGCACAGTGCAAAGTCAGGAACAGTGAGGACCAAATTGGCTAAATGTATCCTCTTAACCAACCTACTAAATGGTTAGAAACATCGGGTCAAATAGTCAAATGTAGTTAACCGTGATACTGGTGAACCTACTTTATTGCGTATTTCCCTTCCTTGCATTGTGTGATGTAAACGAGAGGAAGTGTGCTCAACGTTTCACTTCGAATATTCACTTCTTTGCCGATGTTCAAAATATGGGTAACCAAAATCAGCAGCCATAACCGAAGCACAAATTGCTCAAGGTCAGTGGTTGCGTAGACTCAAACTGAGACAACCGTTCGGTTATCTGTCCAGGGGAAAAACGAAAAGTGTTCCAATCAATTTATATTTTTTCTTCTAGTGACAAACCACAAAAAAGTTTCCAGAGGAAAGCTAAAAAGCAGCAATATGGTTTTAATAACCTCACAGGTGCTTTTCTTAAATGTTAATGAAAAAAGGTTTAATATCTAAATTCATTAAAGGATTGTTTGATAATTATTAAAGATTATTGTACCATGATTTTCGTGGCACATAGTCTGTCCTCAGATAAGTGTCAAATATAATATAGTATATCATAAAACGACCATTTCATTCAAAATAGTGGTTTAACCATCGCTATTCAGTGATTTGAAGGCTCGCATTTATCGCTAGATTACAGGGATTAATTACTTTATCCCGTTGAACACTCCAGGCCTACCGGGACAGATGAACGCCATGCAAAAGGACTGATGTGACAAGGTTTTGTGCCCCTTTTACTGTGAATATGCAAAACAAACTCTTAAAACCAGGAAAATTCAAATTAAGTGCATAATTTTATATTTTTGTATTTAAAATCGAAACTCCAGCATTCCCCAATGAGGTACATCAGGCCATAATCGATGCTATCGATTGCAATGTGGTTCTCTCCGGAGTGTAAATAATAAAAAAACACGTTTGGAAATTGATCAATTTAGAGAGAAAGGAAATTTTCCTGTGCGCATCGTGTTGCATGGTTCACTGGCCGTGTAGGCAGGTGCAACAGAACTCATTTAGTGGCAACTGACCGAACGGATTGTCGGATAGACAAGCCAAACAGGATGTGGATGTGTGAACGATATCAATTGTTTATTTTGGTATGAGGCAAATTGATTTTCTTCCTTTGTACTCAAACTGTTCGGCAAACTAGAATTGACGTATCACTTTTGAGAACAAACTGAGTACATGTAACCCAATTCCTTATTCTTACTTATAAGATATGATACGTCATTTGAAACGTCATTTTAGCAATAGTTCACCTTTGAAATTATTGGTAATTTGATTGTTTCCACTGTCTCATCTGGGTATATAGTATATTTCTGGTTTTATATGTTATCAATTATAAAACGGCAGTAGAAAGAAAGTATATTTCATTATGAGTATTCAAACTACAATGGAAAAATTAGTAATGTATACATATATACATAGGTTTTCGAATATTCGGTTAGTCGCATTGATTTACAGGTCAAAACGAATAATAGGATTTGTTGTCGGCAAAATAAGTACCTTTGGAAAATCTTCCCATAAACCGTGTAGATTGAAAACATCCTGAAGTTGCGAGAATCGCATGGGAAATTGTATTTGTTATCATTACTCTTATAAAAGTAGTAGTAATGAACAACTGACAATTTTACAGAATGATAATTCACATTATGTTTCATGCGGGGTTTGCCAGCTGTGGTCGGAAAAAGAATTTGTCCTATCATCTTTTATTCCTTTTTAGTGCAAGTGAGAATTTCCAGGTGCAATTGATAATAGCAACCTATTAGTCAGATTTGAAGGTGATTAAGAGTTTATGTGCTTGAAACGCAAATGAATTAACTCACCTATAGTACTGCATCTTATATCGGAATGAGATATGTAATGGACAAAACACCACCAAATTTTTTCGGTGTACAGCGTAATAAAGAACCGAAGGGCATCCACTTGCAACTAAACCTCTGCGAATTACTTGACTTGTGTACGTAAACAATTACGGCTTATAAATCACACTTAAGCACTTGAAGCACTTAATGGCTGATGTAAAAATAATAAATGTGTTCTTTAAATGCAATGGAAATGCTTGTGATAACCAACAAAGAACACTAAACAGCTGTTTCTTCCTGTTTGAGACTCTTCAGCAGTGCGTACGTTTTGTGTCCTTGTCAGGACTCGAACTGTAATTCTTTGGGCTGGGACTTCAAACCCTTACCCTTGAGCTAAAATGTGTTCTTTTCTCTACTGTTTTAGAGTGAATGTCCATTCAAGTGCCTTTAAATAACCCACTGAGGGGACATCACTAGTTCCATTTATTGTGTTCTGAACCTTTTTGTCGAGACAAGTTCTACCAACGTTTTAGTAGATCTGCGTATCGTTTTCTAAGTTGTCTTATCATAAATATAAATCAGATTTTTGAAGGAAATGTATTGAGTTAGTCGCCCTTAGTTTTCTGCATTCTGACTTTGACTACGGGTAATTAAATGCATATGCCACCAAATACTCCTCCCTCCTCTCAACAGGTTTATACGAACCAACCTACAGCAGATTACTTTACGCAGTTCAATACGACATCACGGTGAATGCCCAGCTCGCACGGATGATCGATGAGCGAGAGAATACGGGAAACGTACGACCTGCTTTCTATTTGTGGTAGACAAACTGATCATTATATGGATTTCATCCAACCAGTCCCCACTTACCCCTACCCTTACTTATTCACTGAACATACGCTGAGTTGAAGCAAGTTGTTGTCCCAAATACATATCTTTTCCCATCACTTCTTCACCTTGATAACACCAGTGCGATTTTCATTACCCCGGAAGATATATATATGTCAATATAAAGCCATTCTATACACATGATCTTTGATCGTACAAGCTATCCGCCTTGTCTGGACGATGTATTGTTTTGAAAGACAATCTAAAATTGAAACCGATCCCTCTCCCATTCCTGTCCATGTTTGTTTTCCACAAAAAGGAAAAGAAAAAAACAGCGAGAATTCCCGGATGAATGTTCTTATCATCCAAATACAAATGAATATTAAGAGCCATGTCCAGTTTCCAGTACACTTGTTTTGTTTATTCCCTACAAATCATCCAGTTGGCGGCTCAGATGGAGAAAGAGCCGAACACGTAGTTTTTGTGTTCATGTTTGAGCTCAGAAAACTGTCGGTTGCAATTCAATCAAACGAGAATCACCCGGTTGTAATGAGATTTACCAATCTGATTAAAATAAGAAAGGTAAGAATATAGTTTCGATTTTGTTTATTCACAGGAAGGCATGACTTTAAGGTGTATATTTAATGAAAAAAAAATCAGAAGTGCAGGTTGCCAATTAACATTCATGCACTTTTTAATTAACAAGGTCCGTCCATGTGGTATATATATATATATATATATATATCACAGTTGTCATTGACTTGTTCACATGCATTGCAATGGCCGATGCAAAAACAATAGTAAAAGAAAATTAGAAGGATACTGGGGTGCCGAAGACAACGGTATGCAGAACAAACACTAAGAGAGAGTGAAATATACAATCAACTTGGTTATTTTATACCTAAATCTTTCATTGTTCAATCCGATTTACTCAAATTACCCTAAGTGATCTTCGTAAGAGATGTTTTAACTGGATACCACCGTCTAATTCCTTAGTATTTGAACCGGTCGTTTTGGTAGATTTGAGCAACGCTCATTTTGTGCTACTATGTTTTACTCATCGAAGGGATCAATCGGATATGCACTGATAGGGTGGAAAGAGACCTATTCGTTAGTCTTCCTTTTAAGAGTTGAGTTACCGCTGAAATCCTCATAAGACGACTGAATGGAACCATCACGACGAGACTGCACCTTAACGCGGTGTGATGGCTTGTACAACTCTAAGACCCAACGAACTACACAGGATGGTTTTATCAATCCAGGAGATCTTATCGTGCCTGGGAAGGTCAAGGAGTAGAGGTAGGACAAAGCTCACTCTCCTGCTCCTCCAGGTTCGGGGCTCGACTGGAGCTAGAGTCTCAGTCGGTAAAATGGTAGAGGAGTAATTGATCCAGGTAAATGGGCCTCTGCTTCATTTCACCCGATGCTTGCGGTTAGGTTAGGCTTTAGGCGAGAAAACTAATCGTTCTCCTGCTTAGTTGTTGGACTCCCTGGCAGTACCCACCCATCAAATTCAAATGCATATAAAAGCAAAAATAGTTCCATACTGCATCGGTCGTCGCGCAGAATAACCAGGCCCGCGCTGTCCATTGTATCGAGCGGGGTGGCTAGTGATAAGTGAGCTGCTGCCCAGACATCCCAACCTCTGTTTAACTCTTTGTCTTCCGTTCCCAACCCTCTCCCTTCACCCCTTCTTTCGACCCGCAACATCTCCTCAGACAACTTGTTCGTTACTTGCCAAAGTTCGTCGCCAAGTAGCCCGGTAAGCAGTTTACCACAAAATAGATTGCAGATTCTGAAGCCTCGTGCTCCACTGAATGTGGGGGCTTTCAAAGTGATGACTTTGATTCAGGTAGGTCAACAAGCTTGTCTGACGCATAAAGCGGACTCTTTGGGGATTGATGTCTGCTGTGTATCGGAGACTCGAATCCAGGATCCTAGTACAATAAGACCCTTAAGTGCACCGGGGTTGTCTTCGAGGTTCTTTCTCCGCACGTCAGGTAATGACGAAGCCCGTTCAGTAAGCCAGCCTGGCGTGAACATGGTACTCCGTAATACAGCCGTAAGCTGCACTACTCTATTGGATCCCCGTCAACAGTCGCTGGTGTGCGATGCGGCTCCAACGATTGATCAGTATCTGAAAGACAAGCCACAACAAAAGGTGTGTTGAATCTGATCATGCATTATTTTTGATGCACTTCACTCTTCAGTACAGAAAACCACAACAACTTCGATTGGCAAATAAACGTTTATCTGGCCCAGCCGTTCGTACCCGTTTTGAATCAGAACTAGGGCAAGAGCTAAACGCAGTGCGGCCTGGTAGTGTAGATGAACAATGGGATCAGATTAGATAAGCAATAAACTTCGCATTGAGAGTTGCTTCTGAATCGGAAGCAGTAGCCCGTCCGAGGCACTTGATCTCTGATCAGTCAGTGGCACTGATGGAGAAAAAGCGGCAAATCTCGGCCTCCTGGGGTCAAGGCACGGATAGGTGGTGTCTGCCACTTCAACTCAAGAAGAGCCTCAAGAAAGACTGTGAAAACTGGTGGGTAACGATAGCTAGTGAAATGAGAGTTGCAGCTGCATCAGGAAATGGTCAAAGACTGTTCCAACTGATACGCAACACCGAAGGTCGTCGAACCACAGTGAAACAATCTGCGACTAAAGTGGACAAGCCATTCACAATAAAGAACAAAGGTTTGACCGATGGGCGGAGCACTTCAAAGAAAAGTTCAGCTGGCCAGGTGTCAACCAGGCTATCTCCTCCGGTGTAGCTGAGGCTCCGTGGATAGTGTCATGCGAACCTCCTACTGTATCACAAGTTCCATCTTGCATCCTGGCCCTCAAGAAAGGAAAAGCAGCAGGACCTGACGGGCTTCCTCCTACTCCCTTCATGGGGCGCGGTGACCTCGTAGACTCCATTACTGATCTAATGCGTAACATCCGGTCACACGGACGCAGTCCCTCATCTTTGAGCGAACCACTGATCGTTCCAATTTTTAAGAAGGAATCTCACAACCACTCCGTAAATCACTGTGGAACAATTTTGATCCCAATCGTCACCAAGTTAGTAGCATCCATCTTACGTAGACATCTGGCACCGCTAAGGGAGACAAATATCCGCGAATAACAGGCAGGATTCCGTCCAGGTTGCGGTTGTATCGGTCAAATCTTCACTCTGCGTCAATTCCTCGAGCTAAGCCATACACACCGTCGACCAACGGTTATCGTGTTCCTTGACCTAAAAGGAGCCATCGACTCAGTGGACAGAGAATCCCTATTGGGTTAGCTCCTTTGCAAAGTAATGCTACAGAAGTTTAAGAAAATACCCATGTCACTCCACTCCCATGCTTCCGGTAGCGCAAGGGTTTACGGCGAGCTGATGCGATCGTTTGTTACTAGCAGCGGTGTTCGTCAAGGGTGTTCGCTTTCGACATTCCTCTTCAATTTCGTCACAGACGAAATACTAGAGGAAACACTAAGTGGTCTCCAAAATGTAGGTATTGAATGGGCAGTTGGAGAAAAGATGTGCGATATAGAGTACGCTGATGAGATCGTTTACCTGTTTGAATCTATGGATGATACACAAAGAGCACTTGACAGATTAGCAAGTTCTGTCTCTCCGTTCGGCATGTGCTTTGCACCTTCAAAATGCAAAGTGATCCTACAAGATTGGGTTTCACCGAGTTCCGTTCTGAAACTAGACGAACAGGAATTCGCTGAAGTTGACTGCTTCCAGTACTGGGGTAGTTGAGTGAACAACGATGGTAGCGCATCAGAGGAGATAACCACTCATATTTCCAAGGTTCGAGCAGTGTATATAGGACTTCAACACCTGTGGCGACGAAGTGCCGTATCATTGCAGTTGAAAAGTCGCGTATAATGCACCACTGTGTGATCAGTTCTGCTGTACGGTTGTGAGACCTTAAATTCGCGGGTAGAAGACATCCGTCGTTTAGCAGTTTTCGACAATCGATTTCCACGTAGTCTGGCCCAAGTGGGATGGAGTGAGCGGGTTAGTAACTTAGAAGTAAGTCGTCGGGTGTCGGAATACCTCAAACAAGAACTCGCTATCTCATCGAATTCAACTTAGTAGGCTTCGTTGGTTACGATAAGTTTTGCATATGTCCGACGGTAGCCTGCCGCAGCGCGCTTTATTCTCAGTGGCTGTTGCAACCTGGAAAAGCCATGTGGAGGCCAGCAGATGAGGTGGAGACGAGGAATGAAGAAATGTACAGTGCGATTAGGTAGAGGCTGGGGTCACACGAACAACGTGACGTAACTGAAAACCCCGGAAGCACACACACGCATACATGAAGTGAACGATTCCTCACATTTTATTGTTCTTCTCCGAACCCCTGTGATTTTTCCTCTCATATAAACTGTAATGGCATGATTATGAGTTATTAAAAACAATTATTCGCCTGAGATTGTGTTCAAAATGCGAGTATGGGCATAATTCGAAATTTGATTGGGATAACTCTTTGATGGATGTGCACACATTCGTTGAATCTCGGCGTTCGTGTAACAGTTTAGTGTAAAAATGGCCCATTTTATCTTACATCTGGTAAATGTATGGTTGATCTGGTAATTCTGCGCCAGTGTCTGCCTAGTAGGGGATATCCATTTGAATGTTTGTTGTGATTGTCACTGTATGTGCCTATCGGTCTCGGCGGACAGAATATGAAAGCAAGAGAGAAGTTTTATTGAGCTACGTATCTCTATTGTCACTATATATGTATAATTAAATGATGAGAGAAATTAACTGAATGGGGGAAGCGACTAGAGAAGAACACATGGTATTATTCTGCGGCGAATAACTGTATGTTTCCCTGCAAAGTTTCCATACGGTCAGTAGCGGTAAGCACGATAAAAACCCTAATTTATTTTCGAACTTCTGACCAATTTGGATAAAACGTATTTTTCTCAGCAGACGGTTGATAAAACGTGTTCTATTCACCGCTCTTCAAAGCTGACTTTTCAATTAAGCAAACCGGTTAGTGTCAGCGAAATACGGAAATAAATCATGGTAAGTTGGACGCGACTCGTAAGAATACGGAGATAATTGCTCAAAATTTACTCACATTTTTCCATTCATTAGAATAAGAAGCATCTGTGAGTGAGAATCAACCAATACATTCAGTTTTTTAATATTCCTAAATCAAGTGTTTTGATGAGTACTATCTTGGTACTTGTGATTCTTTAATGTGAATTGTTCACGAAGATAGATTTCCGTAAACATTAGTTTGAATTTGCTGTTGATTTTTATTTAGCTGTTAACTTGGATGACAACTACATTGTCATCGCTTCAAGTTTGAGTGCTATTATTTTATTTATATATTTATTTATATTGTTACTTTTTTTCAGACCAAATGTATTTTTTATCACAATCTATGGTTGGGGATAAAATTCAGCCATTGTTAATCATATTTTAAGCAAGATGAACTTCTTTCTGTCATTGGACTCTGAATCTGAGTGCCCAAAACCACCTGGATACACCTCGTGTTATTGTTTTCATTGAAATGAAAAGCAACGGTGAATCTTGACCAGTTCAGATCAGCATTATATGAGAAGGGAAACATATTGGTTTTTATAGCCACACCTTTCTCGGACCGCGTAGTTCTCATAAGTCAGGTGCCATTGGAAGAGTGAAAAATGTTCGAAAGGCGACTGTTGAGTTCTCATCGGTGTTGTTAATTGTCCCGGATTGTAGGACAATTATCTGTGTGAAGTAAATAGCTTGAATGAGTAGTAAACTGTAGAAAATAAGGATAGAGAAAAGAAAGAATAGATTGTGAAGCATCTGGTTGGGCTGTCGTACCAAGGATGATTCAGATAAAAGTTTACACTGCCACTACCTGGAACTTGGGAGGCAAAAACGCTTTGTATCTGACACAACAAAGAAACGCACCCAAAATACCTCACGCTAAAAATAAACAAGAATTGCGAAATAAAGTCAAATCAGACCGCCACTCGCAGATAATTGGGAACAATGTGGAAATTAGCTCAGTAAATAAATAAGCGTGAATATTGGTACCATACAATTTTGGGACGTTCTAATTAATTGATAAATGGTAATTTGTTATCCGTTGCTTCCTCCTTCAACATTGTTCATACTTCTAATCTATAGTAAACAAAAGAAAGCATTTAAATAACGATACAAAAATATACTGAAAGAGTTGTCAGAACAATATTTCAAACCCTTCTAAAACCCGTTTGCTTCCCCGAGATGTAGAACGGAACTTTTAAGCCCATTGAAACTTCGAAATAATCGCCAATATAGAAGGAGAGAAAGCGAGTTGCAGCAAAATGCCAAATAATATAATAGAGTTCCTTTATCCATTATTTCAACATGGAATGCATTCTGCGTGTTTGAGATGGTTAGCGTCTAGAAATCTACGACTATATTCATTTTCACAGGTTCGCCGAGCTTTGCAATTTGTTTGCAAACATTTTATCACCAGCCGAGGTGCTTGTGAAGTGGCAGTGTTCTTCTCGCACCCGTTCGTTTATATATGCGTTCTTCTCCACCGATCATCTTCGTCCTCTGTTCTCACTGTGTTCGACTCGGTTCGCCGTTGAGCTGGTGCGAAGGGTCGAGGGTGGGAGGGGAGGAAGTTGTTCTTTCTTCCCGATTTCGGTTTCAGTCCGTTCTCAGGTCACGAAGTGACCTATTTTTTGCATTATTTGATGCCTGAGTTGCATTGGTGTGCCTGTTTACATGGTTTGGTGCATGTTGGATCGAGGGAGCATGTCAGTAAAACTGAAGCAGGCCGTTTAGTACTTAGAAATGATTCTTTGGATAACTCGTTAACACATCTAATTCATATCAGTCGGATTCGCTGGTTGTTACATGCATTGCGAATGGCCTCTGATCTTCTACTGCACCGTACCTTACAGCTGCATCTCCAAATGGGAGTAAATTACGTAAAATCAGCAGATGGCGTGGAGACGAGGCATGAGGAAATATGCAACGATTAGGTAAAATGGATATCTCTTGTCTCTGAGGCCGGGGATTGGAAGACTCTGCAAATGGTTGGTGGAAAGCACTGTGGTAAATTTCAGCGAGTCCACAGCAGTTCTTGTTGTCACTTCTTATCAGAGTGGTTTAAAAGATATATATGCACAGTTTGGTTATGCACTCTATCTGTTGATAACAGATATTCGTCTCCCTTGCCCCTTTCCCAATAATTCCCATCTCTATCCATCTTCAAATTTCTTCAAATTTCAGCCGCACTATACACTTTCCCATCTTTGAATTATGCACTGCTTAACTATGTCTGCGGTTATTGATGTGACTCGCATGAAATTTTACTTTGGTTGCCGAGGTGACCACTGTGCAACTACAGTAATG